GGGCGGGGGAGGGCGGGGGAAGTGAGCAAGAGAAGCAGCTTTTCCAGCTGTACTTGTGTGTTCTAATGACTGGAATACTCCAACAGGTCACACGGCCTTATAGCAGAGATGGACAACCGAGGCTAGTGACTGGGCTACATAAAGGGCCCTTCATCTCAGGGGGCTGCAAGATTGTCCTAAACCAAAACGCTCTCTTGGGATAGGGCCATGTTGCTCACTGCGCTTGCGTACCCAGAATTTGCAGGGGGTGCCGATTGCACCATAGCAGCGCTGTGACTGGATGCAGAGGGAGCACACGGCTCTCACAGTCAGCGTGTGTGTGCATTCAGCACACACCTCCCTCCCGGTGTCCTAATTTTAAGCACATTTCACTTTGGCAACCCTGGTAGGAAAAAACCGACACTGGTGGACTATGGCAACCCTGCACATGGGCAATGGTAAACAAAACATCTTGTGGGCCACAGGCTGACCACCACTGCCTTATAGGGACAAGCTAATCGCGGGCCCCAAAACAATCCCCCAAAATCCACCTCAGTCAGGTAGCACCAGGTAAAGGTATTTTTCCTTTCTGTGGAACAGGCACACACTCCTTCGCCTTCCCCTCTCCCCGCAGTACTGTTCACTTCCGAATTGGTTTCCCCTCCCACAGTTCTCCCTCTCCCGCCCATGACGTGCTCAGTTTGCCCCTCATCTTCTCCTAGGGAATCTGATCTGCCCCACACTTCTCAACAGCTCTGCCACACTCTGCACAGTTTGTCACATCAGACTAGAGTGGCAGCGACATACTGAACACCAATAGGGTTGCCAGATGGTTTCTGAAAAAATACTTAAAAAAAAAAAAAAAGGACCCCGAAAATTGGGGGTTCTTTTAAAAAAAATTTCCCTTAACAGCATGGCCCCTTTAAGAAACACTTTTGAGGCTTTTTGGACCTAACAGGCTGTCGGCGGTTGTCTGCCATCTTATCTTCCTGCTCCGGGACAGACAGCACCACTGCAAAACCCAATAAGCACCCTGGATTTTCACCTTCTGGCCCGGGAAGAAATCAGAAAATACTGGACAATTTTTTTTTTTTAACTGGACAGGAGGCAAAAATACCAGATTGTCCAGTTCACTATCGGACACCTGGCAACCCTAAACACCAATGTGGCAGTAGAGAGGCCTACTGCTTCCGTGACTACGGGATGATCCAACGGGATTCTACAGTCCCATGAACGTGCTAGTCCTGATGCTGACACAGGCACTTTAATACAAAAAAGGGGCTATTGTAACAGATTCTGACAAAGGTCCTTGTGTTGCTTGGACAGCAGAGTTGTAGCAACACCACAGATTTTACCAACAAACAGACAAACCCTTCCGTTCAGGTGCTGTGCCCGAGTCAGCACAGACCTGATTTTGGATTCAGGGGCAGGCCACAGAGTGAAGGTGCCAGCATGCCATGCTTCAGCCCCACAGCAGAGCATAGGTGGGGGGTGGGTGGCGCTTTGGCACCCCACAAGCAGCTAGCAGGCTCCTTGCCTGTTTGTTAGTGGCCACCAACAAAGCAAGGGCAGGTGGTACCCAGCGAAGCATTTGCCACGTACAACCGAACACACAGCAAGAGCAACAGCGTCACCTCCCTAGCTCCGAACAGGATGAATGAAGAATATTGAGCAGAGAAGGGCGTCAGCCTGGTCAGTCCTGCGGATGTCAGTGAAGAGCAGCACACGTGGGAAGGCCGGAGGAGGAGGAATCGGAAACAGAGACATGTCAATTGAAGCAGTCAGTTTCCACACCCACTGTACAATCTGTAAGGGAGGGCGTCTCTCCCACCAAGACTCCTAGCACAGGTCCGCACTGGTTCAGCCAGGAAGAAGGATGCCTTTTGGCTCTCCCCAGTAGGACTGCTGCCCACAGGCAGCTGGGACTCTGGTCTGCCTTGTAGCCCCTGCTGCACAGAGAATATTCAAGCAGCAAGCTAGGAGGCTGGTTGAAAAAGTGCTATTAACCCCTTTGCCACTGCAGCTCATACTGGGCGGATATTATAGTGACAGGACCACAAGAACAGATACTACCCATCAACTCCACAAAGCCCTTTGATGAAGCCAATGTCCGTCCCATCCCTGCCCCTAATGAGGTCAGGTGCCCATCATACATATTCACAAATGGCACAGCAGCCTTAGAGAAAAGGCCTGGCCATAAGGCAGCCGTTGGTAGAGGTAGACTTTGGATTTTGCCCAGTCTGTACCACAAGAAAAGTATTTTCCGCTCCTCTAATGAAAACAAACAAGAAGTCAGGGTTCCGTTTACTATCCGGCTCTGCTGGACAGGACCCCAGTTGTGCAAGGCAGGGAAGAAAGGGTTAACTGGTGCCACTGCCCGGAGCGGTCCGACTCCCTGTGCTGTGCTGGCCCCGGTGGATCTTCATGTGTTTGGATAAGTGGTCACTGCGGGCAAACCTCTTCTCGCAGGTCACACACGGGTAGGGCTTGACGCCGGAGTGGGAGCGCTTGTGGCGCGAGAGCTCGTCCGACCGGGAGAACCTGCCGGGAGAAGGGAACATAGGAATGATGACCACACGGGGCCAGACGGAAGGTCCATCTAACCCTGTATCCTGTCCAGTGGTGGCCAATGCCAGATGCCCCAGAGGGAATGAACAGAACAGAGAATCATCAAGTGATCCATCCCGTCACCGAATCCCAGCTTCTGCCAAACAGAGATTAGGGACATCATCCCTGCGCATCCTGGCTGGTAGCCACTGCTGGACCTATCCTCCAGGAAACTAGCTCTTTTGGGGGGGGGGGGGGGGGGGGGCGCGTGGG